ACTTGTTGGTGTCGGCTGCCTTGTGACTCAAAACATTATTTCTTAATGTAATACTCATCACATCTCCCAGAATTAACAATGAGTACCAAAGTACCACTGTATAGGTGGGTTTTGTTATACAACTTTCCAAAATATATACACAAATAATTTTCATATTAAAAATGTAAACATATGCTGGCTAAATAAGTGAGAATGAATATATGAATACATATATACACACACGTATGTACGTACGTACGTACATACATACATACATACATACATATATATATATCTGTATGTGTGTGTGTATATATATATATATATATATATAGCATTAGAATGTAGAAATAACTAAATGAATGAAAGATTGATGAAAATTGGTAAAATAAGTTAGGAAATATAAGACAATTCAAATTGACTTATAAAAATTCTATAACCAAAAAGGCAGAAATGACAGTAGATGAAATAGAAACTTTTGGAGAAAGCAAATAACAGCTTTGGGCCACTCTGAGAATTGTTATCTCAGGGCTAAAATGGAAGAAATGAAACTTAGGAACTGAAGAGTTAGGAAAGATACCAAAGATGCTAAGGAGCTGGATGAAAAGCAGACAAAAGGAACAAACGTTTAGCCTGCAGCAAGGCAAAATAGAAGAGTGCGGAAATGGTTTAGCAACAGGAATTGCAACAGATAATGAAATAAGAGGCAAAGCTGGGTAGCCTTTTTACTCTGCCACACAGGAGAGCAAGATTTTCCATGAGTAAGCAAATGTCAAAAGAGAAAGCATAAGGACTTACTTTCTGATTTTAGCCAGCTAGAATTCCATTTTCTCAAAGAGAGCAGTTGGCAAGCTTCACCAACAGGGAATCATCAAGTAAATCTACTGGGGAAAAGATACAACTTCAGGAACCAAGAAGTGTGAATAGAAGGAAAAAGAATGTATCAGATAGAACCATCCAATATAGGGACAGGTGGTGGAGGGAAAATTTTTTGCCTCAGCAGTTGTTGCCTTGGGGCAGTTTTTTAAAAAAAATCGGGACTTTTTAAGAACACAGCGGGGTGTGAGACAAATTGTAGAAAAGTGTGCCTATCCCACTGAAAGCGGGACGTCTGGTCACCTTATACAAACTATTGTTTAGAAAACAAAACAGCTATAAAGGATAAATCCTCAGAAAGAATAAAAGTAATCTATAATCTAGAAATATATATATTTCTTTTCCTTCACCAGTCTAGCTGTTCATAGAAGGGAACAGGTGGTAAAATCAAGAATTCAAGTTGCGTTTGATTATTAGTCTTTTCTTAAATTTTATAATCAGTTGGGAACACTGCAGTTCCTTTCCTTTCCTTTCCACAATTAGCATTTTCCTTTCCACAATTATCGATGAGATATAATTAAGCATGTTTAATATCAAATTAAATATAATGAGAGAAGAATACTAAAAGAGCTGAATTTTGGTGTAGCTACAGTGGCAACATGATGTTTACTGTATTTGAAGTTTGGAATTGGTTTCAGATGTAGATATGTGATGATGAAAATACAGATGGTATGAAGGTGTGTTATTCAAATACTGTGCTTAATATTTTATAATTTTTTTGGCTTCAAAGAAGTCCTTATTGTTGCTAATCAATATTAACTCAAGGCTGATAAATGAGATAGAAGAGTGGACTCTGCTCTGTTATATATGTTAATTTATACATTCTATGTTTTTTTAGCTATTATATGATGCTATGGCTATATGCTATTTTAATAAAATTCTATTCCGTCAATATATGTATTTTAATTCATTTTATTTTTTAGAATAATGTAATATCCGCTAGTGCAATAATTTATTCCAAACTACTTTCAGGATTTCCAATATATTTTAGTTGTGTGTAACATTTAATTGTAAACTTCAAATCTTCAAAAACAGTTTCCTAAAGAATAATAGTTCCACATTGAGGATATTCTAATGTATTAAGACCAAATTATAAACCAGTTAAAACCAATATTTTATTTAAATATATTGATATTCAGTAATTTTAGGAAATTTCCCTCCTTTTTTGCAAAAACAATTGACATATAATTAAAACAGAAATTAATCACCCTGACAATAAAGGGAGTCAATAATAACTAGAATAGAATAGAATAGAATAGAATAGAATAGAATAGAATAGAATAGAATAGAATAGAATA